TACTGGGGATTGACCCCAGGGCCTTTGCATGGAGCTACATCCCCAGCCCTTCCTTCCTTCCTTTCTTTTTTTGCAGAGCCGGGGATTGAACTCAGACCCTTGCGCTTGCCAGGCAAGCGCTTATTCAACTGAACTATCTCCCCAGCCCCCCCTTTCTTATTTTTTGAGACAGGGTCTCTCTGTCACTAAATTGGTCTATCTGGGCTCGAACTTTCCATCCTCCTGCTCAGCTTCTCAGAGTGCTGGGGTCATAGGCAGCTACCATGCCAGGCTAATGGTTTCTTCTCCTGACAGCACTTCCTGCCCTCTGGAGTGCTTTTGGCTGCCCCTGTGTTGGCTGCTGCCTCCAGGGAGCTTTCTTTGTCCACCTCCCCTGCCCTGCACCTGGAAGGAGGGTTTCCAGGAAAAGGTTTTATCTGGTTGCCTGAGGGCAGGGGCTCTGGTTCCTAGTATGGGTACAGTCGCGTCTGTGTCCCCCCTGCTCTCGAGCTGCCTGGCTCCAGGACATTCCAGTTTGTGGTTCAAGGAGCTGCCAAGCTGGCCTTTAAACCCACAGTGTTGGACTTGTTACTTGTGAGAGATTTTCTTCGGACTCTGCGCCATCTCCCATCTCCTCTTAGAGTGGCTCCCGTGGCCTAGCAGTGGCCTTGTCCCCCGTACCTCTGAGGAGGAGGCTGGGGCGGATCAGCTCAGGGGCTGGGCTGTCAGTCCTGCTGGGACTGGAGAGAGCTGGTCAAGGAGAGGTTTTGAGAGTTAGCGGGAGGAGGTCTCCAAACCCATGTCTGCTGTTTTTATTGATTTTTAAAATTTTTTATTTTGTTTTATTTTATTTTTATTTTTTTATTTTGTTTTATTTTAAATTGTATTGTTGAGACAGGGTCTCATGCTGTAGTTCAGGCTGGCCTTGAATTCTTGGCAGTGCTCTGCCTCAGCCTCCTGAGTGCTGGGATTACAGGCGTGTGCCCGGCTTCTGGCTCTGTCTTGTTGCCTGGGCAAGCTTTGGTGAGAGCCCTGCTGTCTGCCTTGCCGTCCCCACGTCTAGATGGGGCAGGGCGCTGGCTACGTCACAGAGGGTGGTTATGAGGGCTAGTGAGCCAGTCCAGTGGAACATTTAGGTCATAGTGCTAGCACTCAGCGCGTCATAGACGTCCAAAGAACTGGAGCTGGCTCTGGCAGTGTCCTGCGGGACGGCTGTCCTGCTTCCCTGTGGAGATGGTTCTGGGACTGGCAGCATCATCTGGTAAGGGCAGGATGAGGGCTGAGAGCTAGGAGCCCAAGGCAGGGCCATAGGGGGAGGCCAGGGCTGGGCGCCGGGGAAAGGTGGTCCTTGTTCCTCCTCGGTCACAGCCTTGCCAGTAAGCCCAGGCTGCCCCCTGACAAGGGTGTGTGGCCAGTCGCCCGGTCATGCTTGCTTTGCCTAGGGCACCAGCACAGCTTGTGTGAATGCCTTAGACTTTACCCAAGCAGGTGGAGTCCTGGTCTGCTTTTTTAGCTTAGCTTCTCAAGAGTCAGGGGCTCAGGCTGGGGAGATGGCTCAGTGGAATAAGTGCTTTCCTGGCAAGCACAAGGGCCTGAGTTCAATCCCCAGTTCCACAAAGAAAAAAAAAAAAAAGAGTCAGGGGCTTAAGGACAGAGTTCCAGGGAGCCTTATTTTAATGTTCTTTCTGGGAGGAGGGTGACATGGGACAAGTACACTGTGCCCAGTGGCCAGGGGCTGAGACATTCTCCTTCCAAGTTGATCAGAGACTAAGGTTCCAACATCATTTCATTGGTCCATTCAGTTCCCCACTCACTGTTCATCCACCCACGGATGTATCCACCTGCCTGCCCAAACATCTACCTGTCCACCATGAAACCAACCAACTAGCCACTTACTTACCATCTACCTATTGGTTTATCATCCATCTGTCTACACCCATCTACTCATCTACCATCTGTACATTTACCATCCACTCACCACCCATGTTCAGCTACCATTTATCAACTCGTCTATCCATACCTCACCATCCACCAATCTATCCACTGGCTGTGCATTCATTCACAATTCATCCATCCATCCATCCATCCATCCATCCATCCATCCATCCATCCATCTATTCACTCACCATCCATCCCTTCATCTTCCATCCCTCCATCTAGCTACCCATAATCCATCTATTCACTCACCATCCATCCCTTCATCTTCCATCCATCTCCATCCATCCATCCATCCATCCATCCATCCATCCATCCATCCATCTATCCATCTCTCCACCCATAGTTCATCCACCCACCCATAATCCATCCATCCATCCATCATCCATCCATCCATCTCTCCACCCATAGTTCATCCACCCACCCATAATCCATCCATCCATCCATCCATCCATCCATTCATCTACTCACCATCCATCCATCCATCCATCCATCCATCTATCTACCATCCATCTGACACAGCTTTTCTTGAGTATATTCTCTGAGCCACTGCATGGTGTCTTAGTTTTGTGGGGCTTTTGTGCAGAATGCCCGTGAAACTTCCTTCCTCCTGGCTGCCTGTTTCTCCCTCTCCCTTCCTTCCCATCTCTGTCTCTCCCTCTCCCCTCTAGCTGCACTTTTCTGTCTTTCAGGCCTCTCTGCCTCTCCTTACTCCCTAGCCTCCCTTGGCCTCCCATGCCCACTGCTCCGGGCCTCTCTGCTGTCCCCTGCTCTGGGCCTGTGTGGAGCTTGCACCATGATCCCAGGGCCCCAAGCTTTCAGGGTGAAAGTGTCACCCACCCTGTTCCCTTCCCCCGCTCAGTCCTTTCTTTTGATGAGACGCCAGTGAGGTGATGTCTGGGCTTTGTGAAATGTCATAAATAAATTATTAATCGCCTCTTGGGTGGTGTGCTGCCCCCGCCGGCACAGGGCCATGCTGTGAGGAAGGGCGAGGCTGACAGGAGAGTTGGTCTGGGGCCCTCCTGGGCCAGTCTCTCCACCCCACCGAGCCCCGCTCCCACTGAGCCCCGCCGGAGTACCTGCCCCCAGCGTGCTGGCCCCGCCTGCTTTTCCAGGCTCCTCCTGGGCAGTTTCTGATTCTCTCCCCTGCCCAAGAGAAAGGCTACAATCTGAGGCCCATTTCACAGATGAAGTGACAGACCGTGGCCTGAAGCTCCTGTCACCCCTGTCCTGGGTACCACTGGCTGACCTTGTTCCCTGCTTGGAGCTGGGTTGGGTGCTGGGATCAGGAGCCTGAGTGGGCTCTGGTGGGTGCCGGCCCGGCCTCATGGGCAGTGTATCTGGCCCTGAGCTCCTGACTCTGTTCTTGGCTCAGGTCCCCAAATCCTTTGACCACCCAGGATCAGACGACCTCGCTGTTCCCTCCACAGTGTGTGCTTCTCTTTTGCAAAACTCCAGCTATGTCCTGACTTGGCAGGGGCCCCTTCCCAGGGAAGCAAGGATGGAGCCCTGCGGGGCTGAAACCCGAGAGGGAGGGTGTGGGCCAGTGTGGCTCCCCAGGTCATCAGGGGCCCTGGTGGCCCGCCAGGTTTGGGAGGGTCTGACACCTGGAGGGCCTGGGTAGGCGGAGGGGAGCACACAGGGTGGCTGGAGCCAGGCAGGTTCCGGGGTCTCTGCACCTGCCACTGGAGAGTGGAAGTCAGGCCCGTGGATGAGAGCCTGTGCCCTGCAGCCTCCACATCTGCAAGTGGTGTGGTGGGTTTTATTTTATTTTTTTGTGGTACCAGGGATCAAACTCGGGGCCTTAGCTTTCCAGGCAGACGCTTATGCTGCTGAGCTATGTCCCTGGCCCCTATTTTGTTCTGTTTGTGTGTCATTCCTGGGGAGTAAACCCAGGGCCTTCATGTGGAGCTATGTCCCCCAGCTTGTTTTTAAATTTTTATTTTTTTAAATTTTATTCATTTATTTATTTATGTGTGTGTGTGTGTGTGGCCAGCTCAGCCCACCAGGGGGCGGGGCTGGCTGGCATGTGGTGCTGGGGGATTGAACCGTGGTCCCTGTGCTTTGCCAAGCCTGCTCCAAGTAGGTGCTTTAGACCACTGAGCCATCTCACCAGCCCCTTTTAAATTTTTAAAAAATATTTATTTGGTCCAGGGTCTTGCTGCCCAGCTTGGATTCATAGTGATCCTTCTGCCTCGTCTCCCCAGCACCGCATGTGGTACTGGGGATCGAACCTGGGTCCTTGCACTTGCCAGGCAGGTGCTTAGCCCACTGAGCTATCTCCCCAGCCCATCATTTTTATTGTTTTATTTTTATTTATTCATTTATTGAGACAGAGCTTCACTAAGTTGCTAGGGTGTGAACTGTTGACCCTCCCATAGTGCTGCTATCTCCCAGGATTAGCGAGTGGCATTGAGTAAGGTGGCCAACAGGTGCCAGCTCCTCTAGAATCACTGTCAGGTGGGAAAGGCCACGCAGCCTGCCCGCTTGCAGCCCGGGGTCCCATGGGGCAGCCCCTGCAGGACTTGGTCCCCAAGCCATCCCCATGAGTCCCCTCCCTGTGCCTGAAATGGCCTCCCTTGTCTGCCCCCAGGCTGCTGGACTGGGCAGTTGGAGAGAAGGCTCGGCCAAGGGGCCTAACTCTATCTGGCCAGGAGAACCAGAGGGCCGTGTTCCCCAGGGCACCCCAGACCTGCTACCCTGTCCCTGTGGAAGGGTGGAGGGAAGGGGCCAGGCTCCCAGGCACAGGCAGAGACTCCAGGGCAGCTGAGATGGGGCCACCCGCAGGCTCAGGGAAAGGGGCCAGAGGAGGAGAGGGCAGCGGCTGGTGCCGACAGTGCGGGGGCAGTGTCACAGTGTCTTATCTGGGGTGTCTCCAGGGTCACCTCAAGCAGCGAGGGGACAGGATGGGCCAGTCCCCACCCTCAGGGGCCAGTTCTGGAACCTTCCTGAAGGGAGATGCTTATGGCCAGATGCCATAACCATGAGGTCCTCTGGGAGTGGAGGAGGGGCTGCCCATGATGGGGCCTGGGGCCACGTTGCAGGCCCACGTGGAGTGGGCAGGGCTGACTGTGGAGCTCTCCTCCTGCTGTGGGCTGCCCCAGGTGGCCCCCGGCCTGCCTGCTCCCCATGAGCTCTGCAGGTCAGTTGGTCAGCCAGGGGCTGGTGCTGGGCTGGCTTTCCATCTGTAGAACCCCCCTGCTGGCCGGGGCCTGGGAGAACCCAGAGGAAGAGGAGGAGAGAGAGGCCCCGCGATTGCATCAGCCCAGAGCCTTACATAACCATGTCAGCGCCGCGGGGGTGGGGAGGCCCTGCCCAACCTTCACTGTCTGTGGAGCGGGCAGTGGGCAGGTGAGGCTGGCCATGTGCTGGCCGCCTCGGCTGCTTGCCGGCCCCCTCTGCTCTGGGATGACTCTAGGGGTCACCTGTGCAGCTGGTTTGAAAGATCCCAACCCCCCTGATATTGGCCCAACTTGGGGCAGCCCCCATGCAGTCTCCCTGAGCGCTGGAGCCCTGTCGAGGCCTCTAAGGCCAGCAGGATACCCACTGGTCCCCCCTCGAGGTGAACAGGGTCTTGTGAGCTCCGTGCCCTTTGGGCAGGGCACGACTTGCTCCTGACATGAGCCCAAGGCAGAAGGGTGCCAGGCAGTGCTGCTGCTCCCGTCTGGCCTGGGTGGGGGTCCCACCCTGTGATCTGGGGTACGAGGGTGGCAGAGGCTCTGGGCCCCACAGCCCCCCACGGTCCTCAGGGAGTGATGTGTGTATAGCAGGGGCTGTGGCCATGGTCTATCCCTGGGGACAAGGCTGGGTTCCAGGCCGGCTTGTGTGCTGCCACAGAGCATGGGAGGGACATTCAGTGCGTCCTGGCACACGTGTGGTGACTGTGTACATGCAGTGGCTGTTGGGCCTGCCAGCTAGTCTGCATGGTGCGACACCCACGCCCGGCCAGGGGTTGAAGGAGCGGAATGGTAACCATGCTAGCAGGGAGCCCCAGCTGGGGTCCTCGAGGCAGCCTTCTGACCAGCTGCATGCACTCTGGGTGTCCCTCCAGTCAGCGCTCCCCTCCCCTGCCTCTCCTCCGCTCCCCCAAGCTCCCTTAGCCTCGGCAGCATAAGCAGCGAGGGCGGTAGGACAAGCAGGGGCTGCCAAGCACCCACCTTGAGGGGGCCGGCTCTCTTGCCTTCCCTCTTGTGGGTGGACACAGCTCTGGGTGATGCTTTTAGACACCAAGTACCCCAAAAGGACCCTCTGCGGCCCTGCCTGGCTGTGAGTCTGGCCCCAGCTCCATATCCCCCGCACACAGCAGCAGCCCCCTCCTCAGGTTGGAGGTGAGCAGGGGCGGCCCACCCTCTCCCTGGTGCTGGGAGGTGCAGAGCTCACCGCCGATGCCCAAGCCCAAGCCCACCCTGCTCCCTCTTGGCCTGGAAGTCTGGAAGTGTGTGAGGGGGTTGGGCCTCCTCCTGGGCAGTGTCCAGTGTCCCACTTGGGTCAGACATGGCGGCTCTCTGGAGTGTCACCTCCTCTGCTGTCATCTGCACAGCCTGGCACCCTGTCCCTGTGCTTGTGGGTGGCAGTGAGCGTGCCTGCGTGTGTGCTGGGTGGGGTGAGTGGCAGTGTGGCTCAGACTCGCAGTAAGGGGGTCTTGTCTCGGCATCCCAGGGTGGGCCTGTCCTCTGCCCCCTCCCCCGACACTCGGGGCTGCATAGAGGTGCTGTGTGGTCACAGTCTGCTCCCTGGGAGCTGTGGGACACCTGGCTGTGGGGCTCACCTTCAGAGGAGAAGAGGAAGGCCCCGGGGTGGGAGGTGGCCCCGCCTGGCCTCTGCTCCTGCCTGCCTGTCTGTGCTGGCCAGGAGGGCGCAGTGGCTGTGGCTGTGCGGGATGGGGGACCCTCTGGCTCTGAGTAACTCCCCAGGCTGTGACTGAGCCGTGTGGGTGACTCCTCCCCCTCCGATTCTTCCAGAGGAGGAAGATGGTGGCCTTGAAGGCTTTGATGACCTGTTCCCTGCCGAGCCCGTGAGCCTTCCCAAGAAGAAGAAAGCCAAGAAGCTGAAGGATGGCAAATCCAAGGGGAAGCGGAAGAAGAAGGAGGTGAGGGGTGGCCTGGCCTGGGCCTGGGCCAGGCACGCAGAGGCGGGAGGGCTGGGTGTGCAGGACCGGGAGAGACCCGTCAGCAGCGACTTCTAGAGCACACCCAGCTTTTCTCTGTCCCTCACTTCCTCCCTTTTCCTTGTTTTCTTTTATCCCTGCCCACTGCCTCTCTCTACCGGTAGTGGGGGTTGATTGAACCCAGGGCCTGTACTGCTAAGCTGCACCCCCAGCCCTGTGTTGAGCCGGGTCTCACCACCTGGGCTAGCCCTGTATTACCTTCCTGCCTCGGCCTCCTCTGAGCAGCTGCAGTTACCACACCTGACTCATCCTTTTGCTTTCCTTCTGCATCTCTCGGTCTTCTGGGGATGCTGACACCACCATACAGTCCCCTCGCTCACCGCCACCTGCTCACTGCCTGTGTGGACGGTGTCATCTCTGTGTCCCTGGCTCCTGGCCCTGTCTCAGTGCCTCTCGGTGACCACTTCCGCCCTTCTCAGTGAAGGCTGTGGAAAAGCCACCTGTGAGCGCTGCCTTGAGCTTGGCATCCCTTGTCCTGGTCCGTCCCTTCCTGGGTCTCTGTGCTGCCCAGTGGGAGAGGTTGTGTCTTGGGGTTGTGCACATGCACCTTGTGTGACACTTTGGGTCTGATGCTGGACACAAGTGGGGCGGGATGGTGGGAAGGGGTGAGCACAGACGGGACTGGGTGTTAAAAATCCTTACTGCCCAGAAGGGGACTCAGACAGCCCTGCCTATTCCCTAACCTCAAGGCTTTGGGGCACCACCTCCAGTCCTCTGGGTGGCCCTGGGTCCCACGTGACTGTCTCCTGCATGTTTCCTCGGTCACAGGCACCTTGACTTTCTGCTGGAGGCTGTGACACCTTATTCTATGGCTACCACTGCTTTCAGCCCCTCAGCCTGTTGGTGTCCCAGGGCCTTGGGTATGGGCTTCCAGAAGGAGACCCCTGCCCAGCACCTCACTTTTCTCTTAAGCAGTTCCTGGAACATAGGTGGGAGGCCAGGCCAAGAGATGGCCCGCCTCTCCCAGGGTTTCCCATGCAGTTCCTGCAGGGTGCCTGGGGGCTGTGGGACTCCACCAGCACTTTCCTCCTCCCTGATGGCTACAGCTGGTGCAGTGGGCCTGGCCGGGGGGGCTGGGATGGGAGGCATCTGGACAGAGGCTGCTGTGGGACAGTGTGGGGTTTGGGTGGCCTCCAAGGCTGGGGAGGTCTGGCCGCTGCCTGTTTCATGACCACCAAGGGTTCTTCCTTTTCGCTCTGGCTTGGACCTTCCTGGGAAATTTGTGTGTGTGTGTGTGTGTGTAACCCAGGATTGAACTCAGGCCCTCGCACTTGCCAGGGAAGCACTTATTCTACTGAGCCATCTCCCCGGCGCCGACATTTGTGTTTTGCCTCTGTGCCATTCTCTAAGTCTTGTCTGTTTTCTGTTTCTCACTGGGCCTCACGCAGCCTCTCCCTCTGGCCTGTGCTTGGTCTCTGCTCATCTCTCCCTCCTTTCTTCCTTCCCTCCACTCATCCCCATCTCCCTCCCATCCCTTCCACCCTCCCTTCCTCCTGGCTCTCTGCCGAGATGCACGCTGCTGCTGCTGCTGCTGCTGCTGCTGCTGCTTCTTGCAAGGGGCGGAGCAGAGGGTGGACAGGAGACACCACAGGACAGGCCCTGAGGTGACCGTTGGGCCAGAGCTGCCCCTCCCTGCATCTCTGAAAGCCTGGCTCGGACCGGCTGTTGGATCTTAAGGGGCTGGGGAGATGGCTTGAGCCTTAAGTGTGCTGTGTCTAGACAGGATGATCTCGGATCCTTCCTGCAGACCAGGGTCCACACCACAGGCAGGCAGATTTCACCCCTTTGCCCCTCTCCAGCTGCACTCAGGTGACCCACGGTGAGGTGCAGAGGGTCATGGCCCTGGAGTCCTGAGCATCCGTTTGGGGGTGGCAGGCAGCAGGGTGAGGGTTCTGATTTACATAAAATAACCGGACTGCAGCCGGAACCTGAGCATATGTAGATGAAGCTTCTTGTCAGACCCGAGCGCAGGAGGGAGAAATGATTTCAACCTGTACTGCAGCGGTTACCATGGCAACCAATTATTCAGTGCTAAATTATAACTGTTTATAACACTCGTGAATGGGAAGGCTCATATTTCATTCTTTCTTCTTTTCCCCTCTCAATCTTGAAGGACCCCAAATTGAGGCTGACCAACTCACCCACCCTTCCTCTGAGTTTAAATGCCTCCTTGGCAGATGCGCTGCGCGAGCCAGGCATGGAGGGGGTGGGGAGAGAGAGATGGGAAGCCTCGATCTAGAAGCATCTGCAGAGCTGGAGCTGGATCTGGGAAGGCGGAGGGGCAGGGTGGGGGTGGGGACTGCCCACCAGGTCCCCTCCAGCTCTGGCTGGCAGGCCAGGCCCTTGGTGGCAGCCAGTGCTCAGGGTACAGGCTCTTCCTCCCCGCTCCTTCCCACCCACCTCCCACTTGGATTTAGAGTCCAGGATGCTTTGCAAGGGATCTGAGAACCTCTAGATTCTTCTTCCAGAAGGTGGCACATCCCTCAGGGTCATGTCTGGGCCTGCAGCAGTCAAAGGACAATGACAAGGTCAAAGGCCCACTGTCATTGGATTTTCACAGCCTGTGGTGTGGTTGGATTGTTCTTAGGCCTCATGACTGAGATTGGCTTATTAGTATCCCTGGTCTGGGCCAGCCCCCTCCTCTGACTGGGGCGTGGCCTACTTGATTCCCCCCTCCCCCTGCCTTTTTTTTTTTTTTTTTTTTTTTGGTGCTGAGATCAGACTCAGGACCTTGTGCTTGCCAGGCAGGTGCTTATGCCACTGAGCTAACTCCTGAGATCCCTGTTCCCTTCTTTTTTTCCTTCCCTGCTGGTGCTGGGAGTTGAAGCCAAGGGCGCTCTGGCACTGGCCTATCTCCCCAACTGTTTTTGTTTTGAGACAGCATCTCATCAGCTTGCCCAGGCTGGCCTCAGACTTAGAAGCCTCCTACCTCAGTCTGTGGAAAAGTGGGCTTAGAGCTGGGTGCTACTGTGCTGGGCTTTTTTCTTCCCTCAGGCGCTGATGCCAGTGTGCCCTCTGGGTCCTGCTGATGGGCCACACGAGTTGTCCCCAGGGCCATCTGTAGCTTTTCTTCTTGCCCCTTGCTCTTCAAGGTAAGGTTAGGGGTGAGGAAGGAGGCCCAGATGTGCAAGTCCTGAAAGAGCTGGCTCTTGGGGAACAGCCCTGTTTTGCACCCCACTCCCACCAGTCCCACCCGTCAGATAGAGGTGGTGGCCCAGACTCCTGTGTGGGCCTCACTGGGGGGAAGTGGGACAGAGGACGGCTCTGGGGACAAGAGCCTCCCTTCAAGTGGCTCTTCTGTCTCTGTGTGAAGAGAAGCTGAAGTCCCGATGGGTGAGGTGGCACAAGACCAACATCCCAGCACCGGGCCAGCCAAGGCAGAAGGATTGCAGTTTGTGGCCAGTCTGGGCTGCACAGTAAATCTGTCACAGAATAAAACACAACAAAAAAGGGAGACTGACGTCTTGCTGATGCCCCAGGCAGGAGGTGGCTGCCAGGCTGGCAGCTGAGGTGGTGTAGTCTGCTCTTCTCTTGCCTCTCCTGGTCGGCTATGGTCTTGCTCAGCTCTCTGGTGGATGTGGGGTCCCCCCTCCCTCTCCCTCTGGGCCCTGCTGGCCACTCCTTACCTGTCCTGCACCCTGGGTCATGGCAGTGGCCACCTCCCATTAGTGGGTCCCTGGGCCACTTCCCCTCCTGTCGCCTGAGTCATGTATCCAGTGGTAGGCATTCTTGTGCTGGTGGCTCCAGCCTGGCCCCCACTGGCAGAAATGAGAGCGATGGGGCTGGGGCTGATGCATATCCTCCAGGGGTCTCCGGGCTGGCTTCAAAGTAGAGCTCAGGGTGTCATGGGTCCCGGGGGGAAAGTGCATCTGGTGCCTGGGCATGGCCTGCTGGTGTCAGATTGCTCTGGCTCAGCCAAGTTCCTCTCCAGGGGCACCTTGATGAGCTTGGTCCTGGAGACCTGGCCCTTCCAGGCTGCTCCTGTCTGAGCACAACTTCTCTGTGTCCGGCTGCCTGCTATGGCAGGAATGGCAAAGGTGACATCCTGGGGGTATCCTCGCTGCACAGTAGATGAAATAGGCTTAGCTTGCTGTGGTCACCTGCCTCAGTCCGAGGTTAGCAAAGGGCAGGCTCCCTTGGCAGCCCTGGGTTCTCTGACCTCGTCCCTGGGCGGTCTGTGGTCCACCTTTGGGCAGCAGAGGTTTACTGGGGTGGGGGTGGGGGTCTCGCAGGCCCAAGACTGCTGTCCGTGGTGCTGAAGTGCCTCAGGCCTCTCCATCCCTTGTTGCCTTGTTGGGGTGAGGGAGGGTGCTCTGGACTGTGCTTCTTGGTGGTCTCTAGAAGCTACCTGAGCTCTGACACCCTCACAGGAAATGGGTGTCCCTGTTTGGCCCTCACTTTCCCGAGCCCTGGGAGCAGGTTCTGCCCTAACCAGGCCCAGGCAGTAGCCAGCGCTGGGAGCTGCCCCTGGGGCACCCTGGGGCCCATTCAGTATTCCTGGAAACACCCAGGTTCCAGAAAAGCCAGGAGGCCCTGCTCCTGCCGACTGCTGGTGCCTTGACTTGGCGACTGATGGACGGAGGCCCTAGGAGATGGGAGAGCCAGGAGGTGCAGCTGCACGTGGGTGGGGTTCTTCTGAGCTGGATCTGGAGACCCGGCCCCCGCCCCAACTTCCAGGACATGCCCGTTCAGAGTGTCTTTCAGCTCCAAATGCGCTGAAAGGGCCGGCCTGCCGCCCCGCCTCCACCCCCTCCCCTCCGCTCCCCCTCCCCACCTCTTGTCCCTCTCCACGCCGCCCTCTCCCCCACTGCGGCTTCCCGAGCTCATTTTTCATCCTCCCAGTTCTCTCTCCATCTCTTCCTATGCTTCTCTTTGCTCACCTTGAAAACAGTTCACAGCAATCACAGAGGGGCGAGCAGGTAATTGCAGCAGCATTGCCGGCTCCTCCCCAGGCCCAGGCTGAGGGGCTGAGAAGTGTTCTGCCCTCCTCCACCTGTCCGGAGAGGCAGGGAGTAAACTGCTTGTGGAGAGGGCAGACTCTTTCTGGTGGGGACGCCTTGGCTGTAAACGCCCTTATCTCCATATAAATGGGCCATTTTCTGCTTGCACAGGCAGGAAACTAAATAAAGGAAACCAAGCTTAAAAGCCACCTGAATTACCTTGTCTCCTATGGCAGCACCCAGGCTGGGGGTGTGGGGAGGGTGGGCTCCTGTCCCGAGCCTCTGGAGGGCTGGCCAGTGGATAGGACCAGGGTGGGTGGCGCCTGGTGTTAATTACAGGTTTCTCTTGATCTGCACGGCTGAACAGGATGTAAGCAAGCAGAGAGCTCCAGGGCTGCAGCAGGGTGTGCGCTAGTTGCCGATCAACTCCTGCTGCCCTGGAGTTTTTCTGTGCGTGTTGGATTTTGCTTCTGGGCTGGACATCACCTCTGCTACCCTGAGCTCCTGAGTCACAGCCCTGTCACGCAGCCTGGCTGTGACTGGCGCTTGCTCTGGGCTGACTGCAGTGCGCTTGCAGTGCGCTTGCCTGAGCAACATCTGCATCCTCGGGGGTCTCCTGTCACTGGCTCACACTGTCACTCCCTGGGGAACAGACCTCTGCAGCTGGAGCTGTCCCTCAGGCCGGGCCTTGGGGCTGAGCTGTGAGCAGCGGCACTGGCGACAGGGTGACTGGTCCCAAGTGCAGGCTGATCCTTGGCCAGGTCACTGCCGCCCAGCACCTTGGCTTCTCCTGCAGCCTCGGTGTCTTCCTCTTCCCCCAGGGGAGCAACGATGAGCTGTCGGACAATGACGAGGACCTGGAGGAGAAGTCCGAGAGTGGAGGCAGCGATTACTCCCCAAACAAGAAGAAGAAGAAGAAGCTCAAGGACAAGAAGGAGAAAAAGGCCAAGCGGAAAAAGAAGGACGAGGATGAGGATGACAATGACGACGGGTGCCTAAAGGTAACGGCCGGGGCTGGGTGATGGAGCCTGGGCCCTCCTGGAGCCACAGTCCTGTTCTGTTCTCTGCCTCTGCCTCGGAGCTGCAGCGTCCATCCTTCCTGATGTGGGAAGAGTGTGTGTGTGTGTGTGTGTGTGTGTGTGTGTGTGTGTGTGTGTGATGCATGTGGATGTTGACACAGCTTGTGAGAAATCAATTGCTCCGTCAAAAGTCTGGGGGACGGGTTTGAAATAACAATGGGTAAAAATCATGGATGGAGGGAGCCTCCCAGCGTCTCGCTGGCCTCCTGGCTGTTCTCAGTTGGGCTGGGCTGCACCTGTTTCCAGGGACAGTGACAGTGTGACTTACGTGGACCACTCTGGGGAAATCAAACAAGTGAAGTCTGTGCGTGGAGCTGGAAGGGCCCGCAGCAGTGCTGCCTGACAGGACTCCTCAGGTCCGGCCGGAGCTGGAGCAGGCCAGCTGCAGATGTGGCCTCGGCTGTCCCCTGGGGATGGCATGTGGGAAGTGAGCTAAGGCTGTGGGGTCGCACTGATGGCCCTGTCCCCAGGTCTCAGAGACCACGGTTGGGGACCTGGGCCTCCCTTGCGGCTCTGGGTGCAGGAGCTCCGGTGGTGAGCGCACGCCGCGCCCAGAGCATGAGAGCATACAGCTGATTGCCCCAGAACAGGAGCCCAGAGCTGCTGGGTGAGGCCTCGATGGAAGCGTGAACCCTGGGCACCCAGGCAAGGGTGCTTCTTGCTGGGGTCCTCACGCCCACCGTGATCTCGTGTGCCTGGGCGGTGGCGGGGTCCTCTGCAATGGTAAGGGTGTCACTGTGGCCCTGTGACAGTGTCAGCCCTCTCATGTGCCGCAGGAGCGGCAGGAATGCTGTGGGTGCCATGGGAAGAGCGCCAGGCCATCGGGAGCCTTCTGCAGGAGACTCAGGTGGCTTGGGAGGGACACTGTCCTGCCTGGGCAGCTCCCGCTGTGGCAGCCGAGAGCTAGGATTCCAGTCCTGGGCAGCGAAGGGGTTTGTGCATCAGGGGTCTGAGGACTGGGGACACAGGGGCTTCTGGGCCAGGGGGCCCAGTGGTGGGATCTCAGGCTTTATTTTTTGGCCCTGGGGATTGAACCCAGGCCTTCATGCAGAGCTTCCTCCACAGTCCCTTTTATGTTGATACTAAGCCTTACTAATTGTGCCTGAACCTTCATTCTGCTGCCTCGGCCTCCCGTGCTCAGGGACACCTCCACATGAGGCTCAGGGACGCCTCCACATGAGGCTCAGGGACGCCTCCACATGAGGCTCAGGGGCGCCTCCACATGAGGCTCAGGGGCGCCTCCACATGAGGCTCAGGGGCGCCTCCACATGAGGCTCAGGG